GCTGTAATAGTTGCTTTTGAATATTGAACTCATTGATCGTCGAAATGATGTGTGGAATTCGTGCGAGTGATTGTCAATGGCTAATATTTCAATTCGCAATGCTGCTGCTTCTATGTAAGTAATATGATTCGCATTAATCTAATAATCTTTGTTGATGTTCTGAATTAGCTACAAATGTATTTCCGATGCATGTTGTACAATGCAATAGCTATATTGTTGAACTGTGCTCGAGTATTGATTTCTGTTTTCAGTGTCGTGTGTGCTTGAGTTCTTATTGATAACGTTCTAATTGAAAAAGTAAGAGCAAATTTGTTCCGATTTCTGAAATGCTCTGTTGATCATTTTTTTAAAGATGTAGAACATACGTGTGGTTTGATCACACAAGCTAAAATCATGTTGAATTGCTCTTTAGAATCAATTGATGTGCTTAATATCAGTGTGGTTGATTCAGAATCCTCTTTCTGTTTGATTAATTCTGTGATTGTGAATGATTTGAAACATCACAGATTTGTAATTCAACAAGTTTCTTCTTCCGATGCTTAATTGCTGTAATTCAACAGATAAAAAATTTAGGTATATTGTATCGAGTATGTGTGCTTATCAATTTTTTTGGTGCTTAAATCTCTGAATCAGATAGCATCCATTTCGAGAAAGTAACTAGTTCTAATCTACCACAATCTCCGATTGAGTCTCCTTTGAATCCCCAACCTGTTCTTCCACTCCTTGCACCTTCACCATTGACGCCATTCACAAATATCAGCATGCCAAATCTATCAGGTATCCCTACACCTTCCTCTTACTGAATCAAATGCTTTAAGAAGAAACAACTACTAATCTTTGTAAATTTGATCTATTCTAACATTTCAGGAAACTGTCCACTAAACTTTTCAAATGCCAAAACTGCCCTCACCACAACAGCAATCGATTGCTGGGGTTCACTAGCTCCATATCTAGCCAACTCAATATGTTGCCCTCAACTCGATGCCACAATCAAGATCTTAATAGCCCAATCTAGTTTCTCTTCAGGAAAACTTTCCCTCAACAAAACTCATTCCAAAAACTGTCTTTCAGACATCACACAACTTCTAGAAGCTGAAGGCTCTAACCACCAACTTCTAGAAATCTGCTCAATCCACCCTTCTAACCTCTCAGATTCTTCTTGCCCTTTTGTTCATCTTGCTGATATCGAAAACACCATCAACATTCCTACAATCATTGAATCTTGTGAAAAGATTGATCCAGTGATAGAGTGTAGGGATAAAATCTGTCAAAGTGCGATTACAGATGCTGCTGTTAAGATTGCTTCTAGAAAGATTGGAAGTCGTTTATCAGGTGATGACGTGGCCATGGTTGAAGATTGTAAGAAAATTGTTCTTCGATGGGTTGCAAGTAAATTTGATTCATCATATGCTAATAAAATTCTTCGTGGGATTTCGAGTTGCAAGATTAACAAAGGTGTAACAATATCTTCAAACTACGAAACTTTAATGTATTTTAATTGCTAAATCATAATCTCTCACTTTTAATTTTTCCAGTTTGTCCTCTTGTTTTTCCCGACATGAAAAACATTTCGAATGAATGTGGAAACAAGATTAGGAGCCAAAACACGTGTTGTGATGCCATGGAGAAGTACATGACTTATCTACAAAATCAAAGCTTCATTACAAATTTGCAAGCATTGAATTGCGCACATTCGCTTGCTGAAAATTTGCAAAAACTTAATGTCTCCAATGACATATACAACATTTGTCACATAAAACTCAAAGATTTCTCCCTCCAAGGTTAACTACGCTCATTATTTCCCTTCTTCTTTTCATATCATCTCTAGAGCAATTTAACAAATTGATAGGTGGCGTTATGGCATTTTGATATTATCGATTATGGAACAGTTGGATCACAAGGTACTAATTCTTGACATAGAATTAGTTTAATGATGCCGATTTTTATCTAATAAACCCCTCTCGGGGATCCTTTTTGTTAAAGGGTCGGGTTGCCTTTTTCCAAGCTTGCCTTTTGATGTGACGTATGAGCAAAGCACAGGAATTGATTTCAGATGTGATCTTAATGATAACGTTGAAGCGCCATGGCCTTCTTCTTTTACTTATTCTCCTTCTCCAATAAGTACGTCTAGTACTTAAACATGTCTTTCAAAAGTTTTTTTTTTTTTTAAAATTAATTAATTTATGAAAATCATGCTACAGATATTCCAGCACTTCCTAAAGCAACATCTGATCAGAGTGGTGAGCTGATTTCTTCCTTATTGTTGAAATAATTTCTTATTTTTTTTAATTATTTAATTAATTTGGGAATGTCAATTCCAAAGGGCTGCGGAGTACACTGTTGCTTTCGACTTTGTTGCTGCTCAGCTTCTTCACGTGGTGATTCACAGACCTACGTACATGGACTGCTTTTTGTAGTGTAAAATAGTTATAAGAATAAAAAAATATGATTAATATTAATGTATTTCTTAAAAGAATTTGTAAATGTAATACGTACTAGTCTGATTCGTCCTTTTGGGGACATATGATAAAATTTGAACTATACAAAGAAGAGTAGTACAAACACAAATCAAGAAATGACTTTTGATCTTAAAATCATGAGAATCTGTACTTTGTTTTATTTTTTTGGGTTAAGAAAAAAATTGTATTTATTTTGTTTCATTGACATCCATACTACTAGCAATCCCAACTTACTTTACTAGATTCACCAAAGTCACCCTATAGTTACACCCTCGTATCTCGTATTGCCACATTCATGCATTCCCTTTTTTGGAAACTCATATATGGAAGAGGGACCAAGTCTTATTATATATTAAGAGCTCTCACAAATTAATGTGAAAAAATTACACACACCAAAAAACGATGTTTAATACGGATTGCTCAATAATGGGGTATGAGCTACACCTACATCTAAAGCAAACCGAAATAGACCAAGAGCCAACAATCAAGCCCAATACAGACTATACAGGCCGGACACCGCCTTACCGAGCCGACCGCCAATATAATAATCGCATATCTACCGTACAAGATTATAACACATAGCATCCCAGGAAACATGAAAAAGAAAATTTATTTTATTAAAGGGTTCTACCCTTACAACTAGGGGTTTTGGCGATGCGGTTTATCCTCAAAACCGCAAACCGCACCGCATATGCGATTTGTTATTTTCGGAAACCGCAGACCGCACCGCAAAGGTAATAAACCGCGTTATGCAGTGCGATTTTGTGCGGGCGGTTTTGTTGTTTTTGTGCGGTTTATGCAATTTCATAAACATAAATATTAAATTTAGTTTTAAACGTAATAAGTGTGTGGTGCTTTATATTCTATGAAGAAAAGATTAATTGCCTGTATAAACATCTTTTTTATGCATAACATAAAAATACTTTACAATATTTTAAAATTATAATATGAACTTATGGTACTGTAAACACATATTTTTGATATAGTTGGTTTCCCATTTTGACTCATGTTTATCAATCGAAATCTCATAAACATTATTAAGGGTATTAAAAGTGGTAAACATCTAGCGTGTTGTGTGTGTGTGTGTCTATATATATATATATATATATATATATATATATATATATATATATATATATATATATCAAGGTTGTAAAAATCGCTCGACGGTGGCTCGACGGTCGACTCGTGTTAAAGGATTAATCGGTCGTGGCGGGGATTAATCGGGGATTAATCGGAGACCATAGATTATTAATAAACTATTAAAATTAATTAAATATTCATATATCTTAAGAAAAACAAGTACTTCAAAATTAAAAAATAAGAAAAATTGTAATTTGAAAATTTGGAAATATGAAAATATGAACATTTTGATATATTATTCGAAATTTTGAAAATTTGAAAACTTTGGATTAAAAAAAGTTGATTTTTTGAAAAAATAATTTTAATTTTTTTATATTTTTTAAAAATTTTTATTAAAATTTTTTGACATTTTTTTGACTTTTTCGACTTTTTTGACTTTTGTTGACCGATTAATCCCGCCAAACCCGATTAATCCTAAATTTCCGATTAATGCCTTAATCCCTGACGGTTGGAGAACGCCAAACGATTAATCCACGATTAATCGCCGATTAATCCCGATTTCTGCAACCATGATATATATATATATATATATATATATATATATATATATATATATATATATATATGGTATGTTGCAGTGTGGTTTGAATCGCGGTTTGGTAACTATAAACCGCAAATTGCACCGCATAGTGCAGTTTATGAAAACTACAAACCACAAACCGCACCACGAGCGTCCAAAACCGTATTATGCGGTGCGGTGCGAGCGGTTTGTGCGGTTTGATGCACACCCCTACTTTCAACCTATGGACTAACACATGACACATGCAAGAAAACCATAAACCGGACCAAGCCTCACACCTATATAAAGGTAAGTTCTTCTTACCGATAGGGGGCGGAGAACAAGAAGGTAATTTTTATAATAGACAACACAAAGCAATATCGAATTTAGGCATCCGAGAGCAATATTAGGGTCCAACCCTCGATATAACTTTCTAACCTAGTATTTGCTGATCTTGTGCAACATTACTTCCATGGTGTTCATTAGACGTAGTTCTACAGAAATAACTATCAAGACATACGAAAGACCATGTAGCAACAGTCAACGTGACTTACATCTAAATAACATGATTCTTGTTCACGAACATGAAAGCGATAATACAGTTTAATTAAAACCCTAGCTATCAGCCGTTATATATATATATATATATATATATATATATATATATATATATATATATATATATATATATATATATATATATATATATATATATAATACAAACATAAACCTAATTAGAACCGGGTTAGCATGTCCATACCATATAACACATTTTTTTAATTAAAAATTATTATTTTTTTAGTTTGAGAACAAATAAAATCATCTATTTTATAAAGTTAATATTATCTTATAATAAATATTGAAAATAATCGTGTACCCGGATAATATATTTTGGTCATTTTTAGAGTCTCACAACTTTACACAATTATACCCAAACAAAACTCTCCCTTTCTCCCACAATTAAAGAAACAAAGTTGCAGGGACCATGACCACCATCATTTTCCCATGTTTTCCTTACCTTCCAAATAGGCTTTATTCTTCATCTGGCATCTGAACCCCACTCCTCACAGGCTCACACTATTCGACCATTAAACAACAAACACCCACCGTTGTTTTCATCTCCTCTCCGTTACTCAAATTTGACCTAATTTCATGCTTATTTCACCTGAACCTCTGATGTCTTAACATGTATCAATAATGGAGTCCACCATACGATTATTACTAACCCTCTCAATATCACTGCTTCTCAACACTTGTGCTTACTGCAAAAGGCCTGCTGTTGTAAATGTTGGAGCTCTGTTTTCGTTTGATTCGGTCATCGGCAAGGCTGCAAAAACAGCCATGGAAATTGCTGTAATCGATGTGAACAACGATTCAAGGATTCTTAATGGTACGGAAATGAAGTTATTCATGGAGGACACTAATTGCAGCGTCTTCAAAGGCTCCATTGGAGGTATTTAAGCATCTATACCTTTCGATTTTCCGTTAACATGAATAGAGATCAAATTCTTATGTGGAATTTAGGTCGTAGATATTATCATATAAATTCAATCTCGATTTTGGATTGAATACACATGGTACCAAAGTGGCTTTTTTGATTCATAAAGAAATTTTTTAGTTTACAAATTCCTTTTTTTTACTGTTTCTATTAGCTTGATCTTCAATTGAAAATCCAGATGCGGATAAATTTGAATTTGGAATGATTTTGTCAGCATTTCAGATGCTCGAGCAAGACGTAGTCGCAATAATCGGCCCACAATCATCAGCTGTAGCTCATATGATTTCTCAGATCGCAAATGGCGTACAAGTTCCCATAGTTTCATACGCTGCAAGCGATCCCACTCTATCTTCCCTCCAATTCCCTTACTTCTTTCGAACAACACAAAGCGACTCATACCAGATGGCAGCCATGGCTAACTTGATCGATTTTTATGGCTGGAAAGAGGTAATTGCAATATACGTCGATGATGAATATGGTAGAAACGGAGTGTTTTCTCTAGATGATGAAGTAGAAAAGAGGAAATCAAAGATTTCTTATAAGTTAGCTTTACCCACTAATTATAATCTTAAAGATATCTCCGATTTGCTTAATTATTCAATCCCACTTGGCCCTCGTGTTTATATCATCCACATTCATCCTGATCCTGCCCTCAAAATCTTTCAAGTAGCTAACAAACTTAACATGATGACTACCGATTATGTATGGTTAACAACCGATTGGCTTTGTACAACTTTACCCTCGATTACCCCAACAAATCAACCTTCTTTGAAGATCATCGAGGGCGTTGTCGGAATTTGTCAGCATACTCCACAAACGTCACGAAAAAAGAACTTTGAATCGAATGTATACGGATCGTATGCTTATGACACGGTGTGGGCGGTTGCAAACACAATCGATACATTTCTTAATCAAGAAACGAATATGTCGTTTTCGTTTTTCGATTCAAAATTCGGGAAACTTAAGATCTTCGATAACGGGAAAGATTTCGTGAAGATATTATCGGAGACAAATTTCAACGGTTTGACCGGTCAAATCCAATTCAATACCGATAGAAACTTGGTTCCTAGAGGATATGAAATCGTTAATTTCGTTAAATTATCGATTCAAAATGTTGGGTATTGGTCGAACCATTCGGGTCTCTCTATTGCCCCACCCGAATCTCTCAAAGTGGATAAAAGTAAGTTGCCCCGTTTAAATGAGAAGCTTGGTGTAATTACTTGGCCCGGTGGAAACACGGATAGGCCACGTGGATGGGTTATTGGTGATCAAGAAAGACCGTTAAGAATTGGGATACCGAAACGGGCGAGTTTTGTTGAATTTGTAACTGAATTAAGTAATCATACGATACAAGGATACTGTATCGATGTGTTTACGGAAGCAGTTAAGCTGATTCCTTATCAACTTCCTTTTAGATTTGTCCCGTTTGGAGATGGTGAAAAGAATCCAAATTATGATCTACTTGTAAAGTCCGTTACGGACGACGTAAGTATAAGATTAGTCAAATCTCGTTTTTATCATGTGCTTGATACATATTAGTATGTATCAAGCACATTGTATACAATGCGTCTGATGCATAGCAAATCAGACGCATTGGTAGTACATAATGCACACACACCGTACCTGATGCATAACGTATCATAACGTATCAGGCGCTATGCAACACTGCGTATTATATAGTGTATTTGGCAGTGACATTTTGCCTACGATCAGGCAATTGTGTCAGATACATGGTGTATCTGACGCAATGTGTCAGATACACTATGTATCTCAGATACACTATGTAGTATACATACATAGTGTATCTGGCGCGTTGTGCGAGCTACACTATGTATCAGGAACACATTGTGCCTAACATGCATTATAACAATACTCATCAAACCTGATAAGTAAGTTCTTTATAGTATTAGATTGTGGTTGTTACTAGGTTTTTGATGGAGCGGTTGGAGATATAGCTATCGTGACAAATAGGACAAAGATTGTTGATTACACACAACCTTATGCGACAACGGGTCTCGTGATTGTGGTTCCTATCAACGATTCAAAAGCGAGTGCTTGGGTGTTTCTCAGACCTTTTACTATAGAAATGTGGTGCGCTACTACAATTGCTTTTGTGTTGATCGCTTTAGTTATCTGGCTTCTTGAACATCGGGTTAACGACGATTTCAGGGGCCCACTTAAACGACAACTTGTCACTATTTTCTTGTAAGTTTCTTTTGTGCTTACAATCCATTATTTATGCTCGATGATATAAATGTGAAATTTTGCTTTTTGTTTTTTAGGTTTAGCTTTTCGACTCTGTTCAAGAGAAACCGTAAGTAGCCTCATTTTTTCCCTTCCATTTCCTTACGTATGCAATTATTTTGTTCAAAATCATTTATTATGAAATATGAATTACAGAGGAAGATACGGTTAGCCCACTTGGACGTATGGTAATGGTGGTATGGCTATTCCTATTAATGGTGATCACATCAAGCTACACCGCAAGCTTAACCTCCATTCTTACAGTCGAACAACTTTCATCACCAATCACAGGAATAGACGCGTTAGTAGCTAGCCACCTACCAATCGGCTACCAAGTTGGCTCATTTGCACATACCTATTTAGCCGAAAGTCTTTACATCCCAAAATCTAGGCTCATTCCTTTAGGCTCCCCTCAAGAATATGATAAGGCGTTACGCTTGGGCCCACATCACGGAGGCGTGGCAGCCATTGTTGATGAACTTCCTTACATCGAGTTGTTTCTCTTGGAATATGCTGACTTTCGGATCGTTGGTCAACCCTTTACTAGAAGCGGATGGGGATTCGTAAGTCCTTCCTTCATTGTTTTTCAATTCACACAATAAACAGACTCAGACTGACTCGGTCAGACTGTTTGATACCACAATCAGATATCTTCTGTATGTCTTACTGGATCTGATAAGCGTTTGAGTCTGACTCAATCAGCAACTATTAAACAGTAGAAAACTAATTTTCCTTTTTTGGAAAGAGCAGGCTTTCAAGAGAGACTCACCTCTCGCCACGACACTATCTCTAGCAATCATGGAGCTTTCCGAAAATGGAAAGCTTCAAGAAATCCACGACAATTGGTTCTGTAAAGACGGCTGTTCCAGTGCTGTGGGAGCTGATTCAGAACCTAATCAGCTACAAATGAGCAGCTTTTGGGGGTTATACATAATTTGTGGTGCTTTTTCACTCACTGCATTGGTTTTATTTCTTCTACAAACGATTCGTCAGTATATTTATTATAAACAGCAACAGATGCTCGATCCTAGTTCGCCTATGTTCCCAGCTTCTAGGAACAGGGGCTGCTATAGCGTCTTGTTTAATTTTTTTGATTTTATTGATGAAAAAGAAGAAGCTATTAAGAACATGTTCAAGAAAGACGATCTTCCGGAAGCTTCTCGTACTGTTTGATTTCATTCCATATTGTGCCTGGTACAATGTATCAGACACATTTTTTATTTTGGGGTTGTATATGAACACATGCATCTTAATGTAAATATTATATGTTGCATTTTTTTTTTTTTTTTTTGAAAATACCTGGAAAAACTAGAATTTTGTTAAGATAGGATATTTAACGAGATGTGGATTGAATATATATGTCCCACACATTGTTGTGGTGGGTTTTCATTAACGTGTAGAAATGTTTCAGGTGACCTTTAACTAATGGCTTGATGAGTTAAGTATTTAATCTGAACAATTATATGTGAATGCGACAAAATGGCTTAATATGTTAAGCCAAAAATCTTGACTTAAGATGCTAAATTTTTATGTATTTGTCATGCTTCTTTTTCATTTACAGATCCTCTCACATTGGAATTGATTAATACTGTGAATTCAGTCTAAGAAAAATAAAGACTTTATGTATATAGCATCTATCTTTACAGACATTATTACTCGTTAATCATTTTACTCGTATTTATTTAATGGGAAATTTTTTTCGTAACTCTAGAAGCTCTTATTTAATTATAGATTTCGTTAACTTTGTTGTTGAAATGTATATAAGTTTACATTGTTTTGGTACAAGAAAAGGATGGCTACAAGAAAACGACTTTTCAGAACAGTTAATTTGATTCAAATGTATAATGTCAACGAAATAAATGTTTCTTTTGTACGTTTTATGACGTATTTATTGATTTTTACCTACCAAATGAAGAAGAAAAATATGTAGTGGATTCATATTGCATTCTTCAGAATCATTGAGAGGTAAAAAACACAAATGCACAATGTCAGTTGTTAGCGAAGTCGAAGTGTGTCCATATGTAATCTCGGGACATTAATTTAGGATTTTACTCTTCAATTCATGGGTTCCCATCATGTTGGTTAGTTTACTTAGTAAATTGCATTTAAAAAGGACATGTGACCTATTTTTTTTTAAATGACAAATCTAACATATTCCTTAAATTCATATATGTTCAGATGAGATTTGTTATGGTCCTAAAAAGCTTATTTATTGTCATTAATGAGATAAATGAATAGGAGACAATTAAAATGTTGAAAAAACTCTACGCGGAGAGCTTCTAAATTACCAAGGAACGTGAAAAAAAAAATACTATGTTTGGGAGAATAAAAAAAAAAAAAACTAACTGGTAACCGGAAGTTGTAACATTTATTTGTGTGGAAGTGTTTGGAAAAAGTACATGCTTTTTGAAATATATAAAATGATATTAAGCAAGCTAAAAGCACTCAAAAGTTTCTTGAAGTAGATTTCGGATTATGAGCTTTTGTTTAAAATAGAAGTTTTTAAGCTTGTCGTAGTCCGGAACAAATATTTTTCATTAATTCAAACTTTATTTTAAATTTTAAAACGTAAAAGCTACATACTCATAATAAAACAACTCTCATAATATCTTATTTGACTTTGTCAAGCTTATTTGAAAAGTACTCAAATAAGTTTGTGATGCGACGTCAATTCCGCTAGCCCAAGTCAGCAACGGAGGAGCTTTGTTCGGAATTTGTAGTCACACACACAAAGAAGAAAACGGCGTCAATTGCTTTTTGGGAGGGCACTCTGACAATCTAGTAAGTGAATGGTCAGAAAGTGTATGAGTGAGTGTAATGTCAAAGAGGCGATCCCTATAGTCATGATGATCCTTATATAGTTAGGGTTTCTGACCTTTGCAGTGGGGACCATACAAAAAATATTTGCCGGTGTGCAGAGACGTGCATTGGTCCAACTATCCCTTGAATGATCCTTGCGGAATATGATTGGTGCAAAGGGAATATTGATAGTGGCACAAGCATTCTATTATGTTGACATTTTCCCTTGCATGACTTCTTGGTGAGTGTATAGAGCGGGTGGTTCCTTGCTCGCCAAGCTGGTTTGCTGTCTTGTTGCTTGGCTTACTCGCTAAACGACCAGACAACGTTTCGCCACATAGGTTTTCATAATTTACTAAGCAACAAGCCAACTCTGGTAATTATATGCAAGCTGCCTTTTTGCCGGGAATGAGTAGTTAATATCTTGGCTGACGCCCTTTGGGGTTTATTGTTATTCCTTTGTTACTTCACAATTTTATCCATAGGGCTACGTCATCAAGCCCCTTAGTCTAGTAATGATGGCACATACATAGTCCAATCATCATGTCCTAGACTCATACACCACGTGTTAGTTATTAAACTATTAATTGGTTGTAACCTCCCACATTGCAACTGCAATTTTTGTCTCCTTGGTTACGTCATTATGATAACCTTTGGTTTCTCTCCCATCAGATCACTTCCATAAATACACTCCCTTTTCAATCTTTGTCTTCATCCACTCTTCTCGTCTTTTCTCTCAATTTTCTTTGATTTCTTCACAATAACTCTCCCTTTAACTATGGTTTCTTATGTTGGTGTCATTCCCACTTTCGAGTACTTTGAAACTCTCTATGAGAAGTATGGCTTTCAGCCAGAAGATGGTATTGTGATTCCTTTGGATGGGGTCTTGTTCTCTCAACCTCCAGGTGAAATTGATGTTTATGTCAAGACCTCCGACGCCAGTTATTATCTTCTAACCACCACTTTCATCAATGAAGTGTTTCAGAGAAATTAGATTAACATCTATGAATTGACTCCGAATGCCATTACCAAAATCGTGGCGTTTAAAATGCTTTGTCGATCCTAATGGTTTCTTCCTGATATTTAGGTTTTCAAGAACTACTTCTGATTCTCTAATGCTGGAGATACGTATACTTTTTATGCCCAAAAGAATAGTCATGCTCTTTTCCCTAAGGGTAAAAGCAACCCTAAGAATTGACAGAATTAATGGGTTTGGGTGAACGGTTCTCGCATTAAGGGTCCTTATTATCGGACTTACCCTACTTCTGAAAATGCTACAAGATTGTTACCCATAATCAGGAGATTGTTTATGTTTAAAATGGCTTTCATGTGATTCTTGAGGAATTCCTTGAACACATCCTTGCCGGAGTAGGAATGAGCACCGAGTGGCATCTTGACAACAAGATGCCGGGGGTTCTTCGTGGTTAATAACACTATGTCCTTAACCTTTGATATTACTTTTCTCTTCCTCCCACACTCCTTTTAAAAAAAAACGAAAAGAGGAAGGTTATCTTCGCATGTCGATTATTCTTGATCTAGCAGGAGTGAAGCATGTGTTCATCTTCCCATATGTGCTACGAAAGATTTTCAAAGGAGAATTGCAACACCGTCCCATTGATTTGTTTGATGCCATGCCTTTACCAAGTTGGATGATGGCCAAGGATGTTCATGCTCCTGATGTGCTTGTGTAGGATCATTTGATTGTTGATATGGATGACCTTCTTGCTATTGCTCTTGTGAATCCCCCCTGTGAATGGTTTATCTCTTCACAATAAACCAGGTAGTTTTTAGTGTGTCGAGGATAGCAAGGAGGGTATTCTAATTGGTGTTGGGAGTCGAGCTCTCAAGAGGAGGGCATTGTGGAATGTTGATGCTCCAGTTGGGAGTTTGAGCAATGCTCATATTGTGGACCACGTGCAGAGGAGACAACTTGCAACGAGCTTTATTGCCAAAATCTTGCCTTATAGTGGAGAAGTAATAAGCATACTTGATGATGATGTTAAGGAATCTGAGGGTGTTGCATGGGCGACTGAGCAACTCTTTGTGTATGAGTCACTGTGTATAGGTGTTGTGCCTCAATCTGCTGGATTGGATAAAAAAAATACCAGCCATTTTCAACATGTCTGTGTTTGATGATGTAATTGTTGGTCTATAAAAGAAAGATTGCAGTTCGGATAATTTCTTTGTGCCAAAATGGAGTCTCATCAATGATCCTCACATCTTGTCAAGGGAAACTAAATCGATTTTTCTCGCTATTCATTTCTTGGTGGGTATGTTTCTGAGATGGAATCATTCATCGATGATCAAACTGTTGGCTATCTTGAAATTGCTTCTGTGCAGAGTGCCTTTTTCCTTGCTGCTAGTGCCCAACGTATCTGATGCCTAAAAGGGATGAACGGTAAACTCCGTGACATCGTGGAGGTGCAACTCCATATTGCTTTGTTGCAGATGAAAACTAACTCTTTCGATGTGGTTGCGAAGATGGTTGTTGAAGAACGTATGACCGATTTAATGGTTAAACTTGACAAGACTCTGCAAAAAAATTAAGCTTTGTCTATCCGGGTAGAGAGTTTGAAAAGGGAGTTGTTGGAAAAAAAAAGAATCTGCTTCTGGATCAACATAGAGTATTGGTGAAGGTTGAGGGTGATCTTGGTTGGCTTGTGAAGGAGTGTAACATCTCAAAATTTATGACCAAAAATTTCGTTTTTATAATAATAAAGTCATTAATCAAACATGTTTATAAAACCATAAGGAAAAACAGAGTATGTCAATCAAACATCCCAAAATACATCAGAGTCAAGTAAGGCGGAAATCATGGTTTGTGCGATGCGATCATCCCGAGTGCTTCCCCTTCGATTCGGAAATACTTGTAACACAAACTGAAAACCGTAAGCACGAATCATAGTGATTTCCCCAAAATACCGTATAACATACATATCTGCTAGCTCAAGGCTGTGCCGAGTCTATTTCACCCCCAAGTCTATTTCAACTCATGTGTCGGCCCAAGACCGTACCGGGTCTATTTCACCCCCGAGTCTATTTCACCCTTGAGTCTATTTCAACTCATGTGTCAGCACAAGGCTGTACTAAGTCTATCTACTCTATTGCACCCCACATACATTTAACAAACAAGCATATAGGCATATAACATATACAACAGGAGTCATAAATACTACAAGCACATAACATATCTTAGTGTCCTACAATATAGTGAGCAAACTCACCTCAGTCTGCTGTCAGTCGAATAAATGATCAGGTTACTGAACCGGAAAATCCCCGTGCTAATCAATCAAATAAAATCCCAATCAATAATTAGGCCATAAAACATAATTGGAAATCTAGTTCATTTGTCCAACACCCAGGGTAAAAGATTATTTTACCCTTTCCTCACTTGGCCTAATAACCGAGGCCCAATCCAAAGGACCAAAAGCCCAATATGGCCTCAATCTCTAAATGACACCCAAAACCCATTATGGGCCCAAATCCAAGAACGCCCAAA